AAATGATGTGGGAGTGATTGCTTATTAATAAAGAAACTGCCTAGGCCAACCCTTAGGTAAGCGGAGAAAACAGAAGAGAATGCTGGGAGAAAGAAGCTGAGTCAGGGAGTCGCCATGATTCTCCCACTCCAGACAGACGCAGGTTAAGATCTTTTCTGGTACTTTCGTGGAGCTACACAGAATATTAGAAATGGGTTAGATCTGGAATCATCCTTGATCAATTTTCCGTCTTATTTACTAAGACAAGATCTCTCAATTCAAGTCAGAGCTCACCAATACAGAGAATCTTACTTACTAGCCACCTTACTTGAGAGATCCTGCAAATTCAGGGCGCACACACACGCACACACACTTACACAAACACACATGCACCCACACACAGGCAACATGTGCATATGTATTTGTATAACACACACACATGAAAAGGTGGGCAGTTTCTTTCCTAATATGGGCATTTCTGTGCTGACCATCAGAGCTCAGTGGATACCAGTGACATCATAAAGTCTGTGTGGTAACAGAAACCTTTCCTGAAGAGATAAATACATGTGTAGTTCAGAGGGTTGGTTATTGTGAGAGACCCAGGCCAGAAGAGCTGTGGAGTTCAGCCAGTGTCTTCAAACGAGGACCATGGCTAGAAGAAGATCCAGAGGAAACATCTCCTGCAAAGGCAACACCTCCTACAGAAACAAAATCTCCAGCAGACGCAACATCTCCCGCTCCACCAGAGCAGAGCTTCAATTTCCTGTTAGTCGGGTAGACCACTACCTGCGAGAGGGCAAGTATTCCCGCCGCCTGAGCTCTTCTGCACCAGTATTCCTGGCAGGTGTGCTCGAGTTCATTGCATCGAACATCCTGGATCTGGCTGGCGAGGAGGCCCACACCCACGGCAGGAAGCGCATCACCCCAGAACACGTGTATCAAGTGGTAGAGAACAACGAGCAGCTCCACGAACTCTTCGGAGACCCCAGATCTGTGGATGAAGAGAAGTCAGAACTCAATGAGAACTAATGGTGCCTAGGTCTCAGAGGTTGGAGGGTCTACCACCCCTTCAACCTCAAGCAGTCACAATGTTGTTCTAGCTGGGGGACTAATCAAACATGCTATTAAAGCATCTAAACTGAAAAAAAAAAAAAGAAATGGGTTAGATCAATATGTAAGAGCTAGCCAATAAGAGGCTGGAACTAGCTGGGCCAGGCAGTGTTTAAAAGAATACAGTTTCCGTGTAATTATTTTGGGTAAAGCTAAGCCATGTGGGCGGCTGGGTGCCGGGGACGCAGCCCTGCCGCTCTCTCAACACATAAACACATACACACACACACACACACACACACACACACACACACACACACACACACACATCCCAAACAAACACTGGAGAAATTGAGACAGAAGAAAAAGCATTTCAAGCTCAGTCAGTATTCTATCAACAGTAGTTTACAGAACAGTCTGGAATCTATGATACTGTAAGAGAACTAAAGCAGAGATGGAGCAATGGATCATCAGCTAAGAGTGTACATTACTAATGCAGAGGTCCTGAATTCAGTTTCCAGCACCCACATCAAATAAGTCAAAATTGTCTCTGACTGTCCGTGGGGTACAACGTCTATGATCTCCTTGTTCACTGTCACTCATGTGAACATACATCTCAGTTCCACATATGCATAAAAATAATAGAAAATATTTTTTAAAAGACAGCAAAGAAACAAAACTACACACAAAAATATTGTTTATTTCTTGATTGACAGGGTGAACAGAATGTTATTTCTTTTACAATAGAAATGGTCACTTTCATGATGTTTAGGAAAATGGTTTGGATATTCTGTTGTGTATTTGTTTGAATCATAAGATGTTTTCATATTTTAGATTTATGTTTATACTAGCTAGTTTTATATCAATTTAGGAGAAGCTGTGTCAGGTGGAAAGGGAGGACCTCAGTTGAGAAAATGTCCCCATTAGATTGATGCCCAGACAAGGCAGTAGGGAATTTTTCTTTGTTGGTGACTGATATAGTAGAGAACAGTGAGCAGTCCTAGTCCTAAGATCATGGTAATAGGTATTGTGCCTAAACAGAATGAGCAAACTATAAGAAGAAGCCAGTAAACATTACAAGCAATGCTCCTCCATGGCATCTGCATCAGCTCATGCCTCCAAGTTCCCACTCTGAGTTACTGCCATGAACTCTTCCAGAGATGGACTGTTATGTGCAGCTATGAACTGAAATAAACACTTTCCTCTTCACTCTGATTTTGGCCATGGTATTTTGTCACTGAAATAGAAATCCTGACTAATACAAAAATTGATAACATGTTAAGGGGTATTGCTGTGACAGACCTGCCTGCATGTTTTGGGGAAGACTGTGGAAGTACTTTGTAACTTATGTCTAAAGAAGCTATCAAATCTTAAAAGTGGGATAACTATTGTGGGAACATGATGGGTAACGCTGAAGGAAGTGCAGATGATTGATGTCTGGATTGTGAAGTTTCATAGGGAAGTTGGGGAGTCCCTTGAAGATTATGTAGGGACTGGTCATATGACATATATGGGTTTTTTATTATTCATTTTTTTATTTTTTTATTGAGAAAAAGAAAAAAAAAGTTTCTGCATCCTCCCAGCCTCCCATTTCCCTCCCCCTCCTCCCACCCTTCTCCCCCTCCCCCCGCTCCTCTCCCCCAACCTCTCCAGTCTA